AAGCTCCAACTCATGGCAGTTAAGGCTGGATACCCTACAAGAAAATTCCATCTTCTTAACTAAGTTCAAGTTGCTGCTTCAAGATAATTAAAATTTAAAATCAATATCAATTGCATACACAATGTAGAGAAAGGGAGAATTTTGTAAGCTACTTTGGGGGCCCATTGGGGAGAAAAGTGGGTTCTAAATGAAGTAAATATATTTATAAGAGATGAAATTCAGCATTGCTTAGTCTTTTTCTGACAGTATATCCAAGTAACACCTGTCATAACACTACAAGCTACTGCAGTATATCCAACTAATATTCATAACACTACAAGCTAATGCCCACACATTAAATCAAGAGGGGCAGCTGTGTTAGCCCGCTGCAGCAAAATTAAACAGAAGTCTACTAGCACCTTAAAGACTCTCAAAATTTATTCCAGCATGACCTTCCATAAGTCACAGCTCACTTCATCAGATGCAAAGAGCATATATCCACAGGAGATATATTTATACTCAAAGTTACTAGTAACAGAAAGGTCTGAGTGGGAAGGCATTACAAAAAGAGGACAGTAAGAAAAAATAACCAAAGGGAATTTAATCTGTTCCATGTGAGTGAAGAATACTCCAGCTAGATGGACAAAGTAAGATAAATATAGAAACAGAACTAATCAGTGTGAGATATGATAAGTAGAATTAGAATAACATCAGTAAAAAGTAGGTCATGGTGAGCTACTGGCACCCATATTAAATGACAAAACCCAAGTCCCTATTCATATATCCATGTTTCGATAATGCCCTTCTGTTCTCTTCAGAATAGTCCCTACACAAAAAATAGGCACAAATCTAACATTAAAAATCACAAACATGCAGAAACCAGTAGGGGAACATTTTAGTCTTTCAGGACATACTGTTGTTGGGGTGGATCTAATCATCCTCCCTGTAGCTTCCCTCCAGTCCAAGAAGATTTCCTCCCATATAAATGCCTCTTACTCCAATAGAAGGGTCAGTTAAGTTCCCTCAACCGAACAGCAACTTAAGTTAGAGGAAGGTTTCAAATTTGAACCAAAAGGAAAAGTGGGGTTTAAATATTTAAAATATATATAAATAAATAAACTTTGTTCAGTAGAGTGATAGGACAGGAGCAGGATCCACCCCACTTAACTTCAGGTTACCATTCTATTACTAAAAGACTCCAAAGTTATGAATTAGGATTCATAATGAGATTTAACAATCTCTCTCTACTGGGCACTCCCCACTCCCATCTTTCTGTTGCTTAGAACTTTGAGTATAAATATTTCTCCTATGGATGTATACTCTATGCAACTGAGACTTGAGCTCTGACCTATAAAAGCTCATGCTGTAACAATCTGAACTAAGTACGTACACTATTATAAATTACAACAGGGAACTTGCAGTAGGCATCTCATTTCCCCCTCCCCCAGTATTTCTTCTTTCCCCTTCCTGAAAGCCCCATAGCTTTTCCCCTTTTCCTGCTTCCTTCTAGGGTTTCCAACCTTCAGGTGGGACCTGGAAATCTCCTGGAATCACAACAGATTTCCCAACTGCAGAGATCAGCTCCCCTTAGGGTTGATAGGTCCAGGTTGGGAAATTCCTGGAGATTTGGAGGTGCAGACTTGGGAGGACAAGGTTTGGGGATGGAAGCAACCTTAGCACCTTTCAAACCAGCCATTTTCTAGATTAGAACTGATCTCTGTCATCGGGACAGCAGTTATTTTGTGTGATCTCCAGCCCTCACCTGGAGGTTGGCAATCATAGTTCCCATGGAGAAAATGACTGCTCTGGAAGGTGGAATTTATGGCATGTAAGGTCCTTCCCCTCCTCAAATCCCACCATCCCCAGGCTCCAGCCCCAAATCTCTAGGAATTTCCTAACCTGCATTTGGCAACCCTATCTCCTTCCCACCCAACACCCAACCTACCTTTATTTTACCCTCTGTCTTAAGCTTTCCCTCTCAGTGCTCCCCAGCAACCTCTATCTAGGAAAACTGTGGCCCAGTTGTGTGGCCACTGGGCAGGCCCACTAGCATCGTAGGGAAACCACAAGAACTTGTGGGATGGCACCACACTTTCACCTGTTTCCCCCTCCCCACACTACTTCCTTTCCCTCCTCCTGGCAATCCTCATATCCTCTCCCCTTTCCCTTCCTCATTGTCTCCTTCTCAGCCATTCACCAACCTACCTTTTATCTGCCACCCATCTTCAACTATATTTATTATTTATTTCATTTATACCCCATCTTTCTTCACAGTGGGGATCAAAGTGACTTACATTATTTTTCTCTCTTTTTGATCCTCACAACAGTACTGTGAGGTAAGCTACGTTGAAAGTATCTGACTAGTCCAAAATCACCCAGTGAGTTTCCACAGCATGACGGGGATTTGAATCTGGGTCTCAGACCCTACTCTGAGGCTCTAACTGCTACACCATACTGGCTGGGAAATATCAAACCACACCCAAGCTGGGGGGTATCAAACCACACAGAAGTTTCTTCCAGGTCTAGATTTGCCATCCTCCAGGTGGGACCTAGAGATTTCCCAGAATCACAACTGAAAGCCATATGACAGAGATCAGTCCACTAGGAGAAAATGGCTGCTTTGGAGGGGGTAGACTCTGTGGCATTATATCAAGGGGACTCTCCACTCCCCAAACCCTGCCCTCCTCAGACTCTATCACAATATCTCCAGGACTTTCCCAACCTGGATCTGGCAACCCTAGTCAGGCCTGGCTTCATTGAGTCCTCCTTCAAAGGCCAAAATACACCTGAAAATGACCCTGCCCTCTTCCCCTGCCTTTTTACTGACAGAACCCAGCTTAGAATACTGTGACTGTCTAGCAACAGCTACTGAGGGAATCTGTTACTTAAAGCTACATGCACTCCTTTTATCATTTTCAGGTTTTTTAAACCCCAAACGTATTTTCTTCTTTAGATTTCACATTTTTCTGCAAACCTGTGGCCCTTTTCAGATTTGCATGAAGATCTGTCTTGCCCATTCACAGCTCCAGACAGCATATTTAAGTATCCAGAGATTTGGCTGACTTTGCTATTGGTATACAGACAAGTGGGAACCCAGAAGAAACTTGTGGGAGTGGCTATTCCATTCCCCCCACCTCTGCTTCTACCCCTCTCCCCCTACTTCCCTCACACTTTTTTTCCACTCTTTCTTCTTCCGGACACCCCTTTTCTTACTCTCTCTCTCCCCCCTCCATGCCTGTCACTTCCTTTCTGCCCCCACTCCCACCTACTCCCCCCCACAGCAGCAATGGCAGCAGCCACTCTCCAGAAATCACAACAGATTGCCCAAATACAGAGATCAGTTCCTCTTAGGATTGCCAGCTCCATGTTGGAAAGTTCCCGGAGATTTGGGAGTGGAGCCTTGGAAGGATGAGGATTGATCTTGGAAGTGAAATCAGCAGGGTATAATACCATAAACTCCACCCTTCAAAGCAGCTATTTTCTCCAGGGGAACTGATCTCTGTCATCTGGAGATCAGTTGTAATTCTAGGAGATTTCTAGCCCTCACCTGAAGGTTGGCAACATTAGTTCCCCTGGAGGAAATGACTGCTTTGGAGGGTGGAGTCTTTGGCATTATATCTGTCTGAAGTCCCCACCACCCCCAGGCTCCACCCTTCAAATATCCAGTAATTTCACAACCTGGAGTTGGCATCACTATCTCTTTTCCACCCAACAACTAACCTACCTTTATTTGCCCCCCTGTCTTCAGTTTTCCATCTCCTTTCCCCCTGCAGTTTCTACTGAGAAAAACTATGGTCTTTCTCCACAGTGGGGACTAGAGCACTTTACATTATTCTTCTCCTTTTTATCCACACAACCCTATGGGGTAAGTTAGGCTGAAAGTCTGTGACTGGTCCAAAATCATCCAGTCAGCTTCCACAGCAAGATGGGGATCTGAATCTGGGTCTTGCAGATGCTACTCTGAAGCTCTGACCATAATACTACACTGACTTTCATAGGGTGGCTGCTGTTGAACAGCAGCAAGCAACCAGGCCTAGTTGAATTAAGTCAAGTGGTATCAAGTCACCCAGAGGATGCACCTAGGCCTAGGCTTGCCAGCCTCCAGGTGGGACCTGGAGATCCCCCAGAATGGCAACTGAACTTTAGACAACAGAGATCTGTTCCCCTGGAGAAAATGGGTGGACTCTGTGGCATTAAATCCAGCTGAGGCCTCTCCCCAAACTTTGCACTCCTCAGACTTCACCACAGAATCTCCAGGAATTTCCCAACTTGGAGCAGGCAATCCTAGCACCAGGCCTGGCTCCAACCCCCCAGCTATTTAGCTTCCCAGTCCCAGATCCAGTTCTGCTTTTTGCTTCCTCCTCTCTCTCACTCAGAGTCCCCTGAGTCTGTAGAAAAACCTGTTGGGGGAGAGTGAGCCCCCTATCTGTGGAAATAAGTATCCATACGCAGAGGGGACTATTGAGAATTAGATATATAGATATTTCTTTTAAGAATTTATATCAGCTTATTCAAACAGAAAAGATTAAGACTTAACCACAATTAAAGTACTTTTGAGATTTGAGACATTGATTCATATCTCTTTCTGAACTTTTAAAAATGGTCCTAAAGATTCATTCTCTTGAAATGTGCCTGTTCACACAATTCTCATTGCCAAGACAATGTGCTACACTAATATGAAGAACGACTTCAGTCACACACTCAGGGTTTGGGGTTTTTTTTTAAAAAATGATTTATTACAACAGCCAGTTGATGATTTGTTAATCTTCTCCTCAAATGTTGTCAATGGAACTTTTCCAACTTGATTTTTGTAACATTTTTTTCTCTGAAAATGGACATCTTTCAGTTAGTATGATCTGCCACCTACTGGTCAAGGGAATCATTTTTCCATGTTAAACTGAAAATAAGTCAAGAACATGGTATTTCCATATTCCTTTTTTTTTTTAAAGCAAGTACTTGTTGAGCAGTGTCCTCCTTAATCAAATCTCATTCCTAGAACACCATACACTAATTATACAAACCTGCCAATAAAATCATCCTTTTTGCCAGCATCTTTGTCCCACACAGTAATATCAATAATTCCACCATGTTCCTCATACAGATGGAAGTCAAACTGTTCCCTCCACTGAGGATTCAAAGTTTTGGGGACAATCTGAAAAATGCAAAGAAAGTTCATTTCATTGTACAGCCACATTCCTCGTGAACTAACAGAATATATGCCTGATTCCAGGCAGCTATGAAAACATTCTGCAAACAATAGAAGGCTTTTAAAGATACTTTCAATGTTTATTCAGGAGACAAAAGTGCACTCAGTATGAATCATGAGGTGATCTTCTTTGTATATCAGTGCCAACTATTATAGGAACGTACAGAGTTTCCTAAATGCATTTTCTTATAAATAAAATTAATGTTTTCTTGGAGAAAAATTGTATCCTGTGTGAAAGTTAAAACTAAGCCATGTGAAAATGGTAAACAGAATGAAATGTTCAGCTACAGTTACATATTGGTTACAATATCAGTTACACATATTGGTCTGCTTTCTATCATATGCAGAGGAAAGAAAATGGGTTTACTGAATTTCCTAGCTTGTTTCTCGAAGAGTAATGTTTTCTTGCAAAAAGGACAGGTTGTTATCCAAATCAATACCTGTGTTAAGCCTGTCATGTGAAGAGCTTCCCCTATGTATGAAAATCTAGAACATGAGTTCCAGGCCAAAAGAAAACTTTAAACCTATTGTATACATGACTCCCAATTTGGCACATTACATCTATAAGCAGAGAGAACTGGAAGAGAGATAAGCACTCAGTCAGCAAATGCAGAGTATAGGAGGGAATTCAAGATACAAGTACAAGACAGAGAGCAATGGCAATAATAAAACCAATCCTATTAAATAATTGTATTACTTTAGTTAAGGTGCCCAATTCTAAGTTGTTCCCAGGTGTTCCTCTCATGTGGCTAATTCAGAGCAAAACAGCACAAAGGAAGGAGATAGGAGGGGGGCTGTCCAAAATGGGACCAGAAGATGTGGTGGGATAAGCAGGGAAGGAATTTTTTGTAGGATGTAAGAAATCCCTGACTATGATAAAAATGGAAAAGGACCAACTGGCAATGAAGCTGGACAGCCCAAAATGGGGAACAGACAAGGCTGAAAGGACCGAAAGGACAGGAAGGACAACAGAATATGAAACAATAAATTATACTCCTCCCATCTTAAGAGGAAGGATCCAATGATATCATGCATGTGGTGGTGGAAGAAGGTTCTGGATAGGAACCTGTCTAGTGATGTAAAGGCTTGGGGAAAAATTTAGACAAAAACTTGGCATTTTTCCAGATTTCTTCCAAGGTCTTTCCCCACCAATTATTCCACCTGAAAAACTGGGAATTTGGGGAAGTACTGGAAAAAAACTCCTTTGAAATATTTTCTCTTTTCAAATGAATGAAACGTTTTTAAAGAAAAGGTGGGCATGTTGTAGACATATACAGCTCTTAAATCCAAGATGCATTTCTGCACCTAGAATGATACCTGATCTTCATGAGGGGAGTATGCAGGGCTCTCACTGCTTTTCAGCTGTTGCAAACCTTCTATTGTCCTTTTGACCTGACCTTTTCATCTCTCCCTCAAGTCAGTGTAATTCAAATACCCACAGATTGGGTAAAAAGTAGTTTATTGCCCTACCTTGCAGGAGGGAGAAAAAAGATCAGAAGGAGGTAGGGCAGAAACAGCACCAAAACCTCAGAGGAAAAAAAACAGGTTGCTTACCTGTAACTGATGATCTTCGAGTGGTCATCTGTGCAGTCACACCTATGGGATTATGCACCTGAGCTGATCCGAATCGGTGGTATGCAAAGTTCACAAAGGAATTTTCGCGCCTCACTCCCAGGCATGCGCGGGAACCCCACTGCGCATGCCCAAGGAGTCAGGCGCGGACATCCAGCCAGTTCCTTCTGACCGCTGTCATGTCAATAACCAGAGAAAAATACTGAAGCAACAGCAGTGGGGAAGGATGGGCGGGTGGTGTGACTGCACAGATGACCACTCGAAGATCATCAGTTACAGGTAAGCAACCTGTTTATCTTCTTCGTGGTCTCTGTGCATCACACCTATGGAAGATTGAAAAGCAGTGGCTCACCTGGAGGTGGGAGCTGTCGCAAATTCAATGCTCTGCCGACAAAAGGACTAGACGAACCAGGTCCACTCTGTGGTGTTCACGAACATCAACAGTGTAGTGTTTGATGAAAGTGTTCAGAGTAGACCATGTCGCAGCCCCGCAGATGGCCGACAGGGAAACACCCTTCAAGAAGGCTGTGGACGTAGCCATGGATCTTGTAGAGTGCGCTCACACAGGCAAGGGCAATGAGCATTTAGCCAACTGGTAGCATAATTTAATAGTCTCCACAATCCATTTGGAGAGATGTTGTGCTGAGATCTTCCGCCCCGCCAAGTGACTTGAGTAGGAGAGAAATAAGTTATTGTTCCTCCCACTCGTACGTGTCCTATTCAGGTAAAAAGTAGCGCCCTCTTCACATTGAGGGTGTGAAGGAGATGCTGTTGGTCACCTTCCAGGTTAGGGAAGAAGTCAGACAATAAGATCTCCGAGGAGAGGTGGAACTCGGGAGACCACTTTAGGCAGGAAAGTGATGTCAGGCATCAATCTCACTACATCCTGCAGGAAGACAAGAAAAGGTGGGTCGTGACAAAGGGCCACGAGTTCGCCCACCCTCCTGGCCGAGGTAATGGCAACGAGAAATGCCATTTTCCATGCTGCAAGTTTGAGATCACAAGTTGCCATCGGCTCAAAAGGCTTCCCCATTAGATGCCGCAGTACCAGCGGCAAGTCCCACAAAGGTACTGCCGTACGGATTGGTGGATATAAGTGGAGGAGACCTTTTAGGAACCTCTTTGAGACTGGGTGAGAAAAAACAGAAAAACCGTCGATACCGGAATGGTAGGCTGAAATCGCTGACAAATACACTCTGATTGAGGAGTGTGAGAGGCCCTTGTCTGCCAGCGAAAGAAGGAATTCCAGGATCCGGTCAAGTTTGACAGAAACCAGAGGCACATCAGAGGGCTGCAAAAAGGCCAAGAAGCGAGACCACTTCCAACTGTAGGAACGTCTCGTAGAGTCCTTCCTGGCATTCAGTAAGACATTCTCAACCCTGTCTGAAAATGTCAAATGTCCACAAGTTTGTGGACCTTGCGGAACAGGAGAGCTCCTTCCTCTGATAGGAGCAGATCTGGCACCTGAGGGAAAGGATGACGAGCCCTGGTCAATGAGAGTAGGTTGGCGAACCAAGGTTGCCTTGGCCACCAGGGGGCAATCAGGATGCACCTTGTGTGAACCACCATGAATCTTTGGATTGTCCATAATAATAAATGCAGAGGAGGGAACATGTAGAGAAATTTGTTGTTCCACGGGTAAAGGAGCCCATCTCTCAAGGCCTTGGGATCCTGAGCCCCTCTGCAACAGAACAGAGCACACTTCCAATTGTCCCGGGTGGCAAAGACATCTACGTGAGGCGTACCCCACTTCTGGAACACAGGACTGAGGTAGGCCCAGTTCAGCTCCCAGTCATGACACTGAGAGAGACCCCTGCTGAGCAAGTCTGCATAGATGTTGGCACTGCCAGTGATGTGTGAGGCAATGGGATAAATGTGCAGGGGAATGCACCAGGCCCAAAGTTCCAGTGCCAGACGGCAGAGACTGCGGGAGACCATTCTGCCCTGCCTGCTGATGTAGCTGAGGGCTGTTGTATTGTCTGTTAAAACAGACAGACATTGTCCCACTAACAGAGGCTAGAAAGATTGGAGGGCCAGTTTGATAGTGAGAAGTTTCAGATAATTTATATGGTTTCTTGACGTCGAAGCATCCCACTTGTGGCCTATGGAGAGGCCGTTGAGGTGGGCTCCCCACCCCCAAAGTGAGGCGTCGGTTGTGAGAGTGAGGCCAGGAGTGGGGGAATGAAACGGGACACCTTGCGTCAGGTTGTTTGCCAGAGTCCACCAGAGAAGGGAGTTGCGTGCTTCCTGTGACGGAGAGAGACGAACCGCTTGAGATATTCTTAGGCGCTTGAAGTGCTGAAGGAACCCGAGTTGGAGTGGACGCATGTGTAATCTTGCAAATCGCAGGACTGCAGTTGTGGCTGCCATGAAACCCAACAGGCGTTGAATTTGTAAAGCTGACAAAAGTTTCCTGGAGCCGGACTTGGTCCATGAGGGTGGCTAGAGTGAGAGCTCTGTCCTTAGGGAGGAAGGCCTTGCCTTCCGTGGAGTCCAGTATTGCCCCAATGAACTGCACTCTCTGACAAGAAATCAGATGTGACTTCTTGTGGTTGACCCGGAGGCTGAGGCCCCGAAGGACGTCTAGGGTTTGAGATACCTGGTGTGTGAGGAGGTCCCTGGAAGATGTGACCAGAAGCCAGTCATCTAGATACAGGAATACCGTTAAGCCACAGAGGCAAAGGTGTGCCACCACCACCACCATAGTCTTGGTGAAGACACGAGGTACCGTGCTGAGACCAAACGGTAGACTTCTGTAATGGTAGTGGCTGCCTCCTATCGCGAATCAGAGATATTTCAATGGGAGGGGTGGATACAGGGCTCTACTGGTAGCAGGAGCTCCTTTGCATATTAGGCCACACACCCCTAGTGTAGCCAATCCTCCAAGAGTTTACAGAGCTCTTCTTACTGGGGCTACTGTAAGCTCTTGGAGGATTGGCTACACTAGGGGTGTGTGGCCTAATATGCAAAGGAGCTCCTGCTACCAGTAGAGCCCTGGGTGGATAGTTAGATGGAAGTAGGCATCCTCGAGGTCGAGAGTGGCCATCCAGCATTTCCTGGATAGGAGAGGTAAAATTGCCAGTAGAGATGTCATTTTGAATTTCCGGTATTGCATATAAGCATTGAGGCCGCGGAGGTCTAAAATCGACCTCTGCCCACCATCTCATTTGGGCACCGCAAAGTAACGGGAATAAAAACCTTGGCCCTGGTGCTCTAGAAGCACAGGTTCTATGGCACCCTTTGATAAAAGTGTGGCTACTTCCCTTAGGAGACATGATGATGGCAGACTAATGACGACTACCGGAAGAGGTAGAAACTCCATGTGAAATAATAATAGTTGGTGATAAGAGCTGTTAGAAGCCTTCCTGAATGTT